GGGACATAGGCCTTCGAGAACGTCGACGAAGACATAGGACGGTAGACGAGGAAGACGACGAGTTCAAATGTGATTGCGGCTTCGAATGCGAAGACCGTGTTCATGTAGTCGCGGAATGTCAGTTGTACGAAAAGGAGGAAGTGTACATGACTGAGCTGGATAAATACAAGGGAGGTACAGGGGGATGTTTGAGGCATGGAATAGAGGAGAGGACTGTAGCTGTACTGGGGAGTAGCAAGTGGTTTGAGAGGGCGGGAAGGGATATCGTTAGGAAAGACAGACTAGTGAAGACATTTTTTGGCCATCGTTGGCAAAGTAGGAAGGAACGATTGGTCATCGGTGATCGGTCCTGTGGGACCAATGCTCCGTCCTCTCGAGGACGCGTGGTCAATGGTCTAACCACTAAGGCATGCAAAACTAAGAGTACGCCCCCCCCCTCATCATCGTTTACGCGTGGTACGTACTCCGTACTACCGTTCGCTGTGTACATTTATCTGCTACTCATGTTATCCCCTAGCGCTTTGCTCCTTCGCAGTTCGTGAGCAATAGTGGCACCTCTTCATTGTCACCCACCACGTTCATCCGACATTTGCCTATATCAACACTCTCCAACGCCCTTGTGACCTTGTTACAGTTACAGCTGTTCCGTGCGACACTTTGTTATGGTTTACCCGCCCTCTCGGGAAACGAAACACAGCAGTAACAACATTACTGAACAGGTCGGACCGGCAGAGGCAAGAATTGCACTGCAGGGGGGGGAGCAAAAGCCGCTTAGTGAACTACCGTGCGCTGTGTGATGATGTATTGATGCATCTCCGCTGGGGAAGTCGACCCGCGGACGGCGCGGAGAGATGGACTGCTGTGTACTTGGAAGCATTACACTAGTAGAGTATTCAAAAAGACTACACTGGACAAGGACGATCAGCCTCACAATGTTACTCAAACATGTTACCTTGATGGCGAAGATGCACAGCTCTGCCGGTGGCGTGCCTGGCGTGTGTGTTAGCTGGATGGTGTCGACTTCTGGTCTGATGCTGGTGGGACTCCGCACTGACGGAGGGGTTGCGGTGGTTGGGACACCTAGTCCGGGATGGTATTTCGTAGATCATTGATTCCTCGGAGCTCCCAAGCAAGCTGGTTTGCGTTTTGAGCCTTCATGTATTCTGTGTTAGGCGCCAGTGGCATTCAGCGCACAGCAGTCTGTAGCAGTGAGGTCGGCCATTGACGTCGGTCTTCTCCACGAGCTCATCTATTGGCGCCTCATCGAAGTCTGTGCAAGTGCGGTTTGTTTTTTCCAGAACCATCTGGGGGACTCAGGGACACGGTCGAACACCATCCCGACCTCCGTCCGTCAGGCCAGGACAAGGGCAGGGACATTCCGCATAGTGCGAGCACAGCCGACGACGATTGCTGACTTCTGAAGCTGGATTACGCAGCTATTGGTCGCTGCAGGCTATGGCAGAGTGGGCGTCTCAGTTCGAGGGGGAGCACGGAGCGACAAAGCTGGTACGTGGTACGGGACAATTCGACCGCAGGGTCAAAAGCGGTTGCGGATATGACAACACCCAACGCAATCATCCGAGGCGCGTAATAGGTGAAACCCCTGACACCCCTGAACGTGCCATTACACGAGCAACTGGTACTGGAGCAGTTCGCTCTTGACACCTGCCCGGTTTATAGCGCCCAGCTTTTTCGAGAGAGAAACTGCTTACTGCTGCATAGAACAACCCAAATATTCTGGGCGGAAGCGGAACAAATTCGCGACCAATGGCGGTAGACGGGAGATAAGTGCAGGCCGCTGCTGCTGCTGCTGTCTCATGTCATCAACATGTGTGCATCGCTCATCCCCATATGGTGTGCTGTGGTTGACACCCCCTTTCTTCGGGAACAGGGACCATGGGTAGGGATGAATTTTTTAAAAGCGGCGCCTCCGATTGGCCCAAACCAAAGCATTTGAACNCTTTCCTCGTCGTTCCCCATGTTGTCTTCGTTCGTAGCACCTTCGCAACTGACTCGCTGACGCTTCGGTGTTGTTGTGTCTGCCCACCCCATGACCGTACGGAAAGCTGTTGCCTGCCGTGATCGCTTCTCCTCGTCGCTANAATCAAACGCAGAGAAAAAGAGCGACGAGGAGAAGCGATCACGGCAGGCAACAGCTTTCCGTACGGTCACGNCTTTCCTCGTCGTTCCCCATGTTGTCTTCGTTCGTAGCACCTTCGCAACTGACTCGCTGACGCTTCGGTGTTGTTGTGTCTGCCCACCCCATGACCGTACGGAAAGCTGTTGCCTGCCGTGATCGCTTCTCCTCGTCGCTATTTTTCTCTGCGTTTGATTTCGTCCCGGGCTTTTTTGCTCCAGCCGCAGGCGTTGATCCTTTCCTGCGACCCATGGTACATGCTCTGTGGAAGGGAGCGTGGCTTATGCATCACCCGGGACCTCGCTCGAAACAGACAGCATGCGCCATGCCCGAGGACCAACGGCGCGCACAGAGCGAAATGAAGTACATTAAAGCACGGAAGAAAAGGGTGTTCCCGCCCTGCCTTTGCAATGCCTGCCGTGGCTCATACACTGAAAGCTGAATTTTACTTGTATATACGTAAAACGGGCATGGGGTTCCTGGTGTTCTTGTTGTATAAAACCGCCCAGCAATATGATGCAGGGAGGAACCGGTTATTCTGTGGTAGTAGCTTGCACCTGAAGCGTGCGACACAGGAGAGGTTACGCGTCATGGTTTCGGCGAGTCATATGTATTATGATGTTGATACCGTTCTTTTTTCTCTATATCTTTGGTTCGAAGCACGACACGACAAGTGGGCGAGAGTTTATGACTAATAGTTTCAAGAAGACGTCACGTTCTGATGGCGAGCACGAAGACTACGCTTTTCCTGTAGAAAATAACAGATGTTGTTGTTCTGAAGCTGCACACGCGAGACAGAGAAAAGCTGCCATGTTTCGCGCAGACTGCAATTTTGCAGGCGTGTACAGCAACAAACTACAGTTTCCTTCGCGTAAACGGTGGTTTACTCGCTAATTTACCGCCAATAGGTGGTGATGGCCCTCCCATCGTGAAGAAAAATCGGGAAAAAAAGGAAGGTGCAAACAAAGGTTGGCGCTGAGGGGGATTGAACCCGCAACCTCTGGCACTGAATAACCACACATGGATTCCTTCGGTCAAACTTTAAGACAACGAAAGGACGCGTCATTCGAATACGCCTCTTCGTATTTTTTTTGCGCTTCGCGCGAAATAAATATAGCTCGTTCCCGGATCGCCCTACCCATGGTCGCTGAGCCTTTCTTCGAGGGCAACGGTCGGAACGGTATACACCTCTCGTGGCCTCTTTGTCTAGCAACATTGGTATTGCTTCTGCTGTATCTCTTAAGGATATATTGGCCTAGTCTACGGTAATGCCTCCCATCGATTGGTAATAATCAATCGGTGGTAATTAGCATCCGCTACGCGTTCTGGGCACGGCTTCTTCTCCCGACTCCTGACATTGCTTGATTGCTCTGTGGAAGTACTTAGTTTCTGACCTTCCCCATCTTTGTCGGAAATGATGTCAATAACAACACATACTGCTGTACCCCTTCGAGGTATTGCTGAAAACGGGAGGCGTGTTGAAGCAATTGCAGCGGCAGTGTAGCGTAGTGTAGTGAAGTTATTCCTCCTTTTTTGCTGGTGCTGCACGATGCCATCTCGCTTCATGTATTAGGAAAAGTAAATTCAAACACAGGAAGACTTATGCACCCCCTTTCAAGATATCACCACAGTCGAACGGGACGTGATGTTGGAGTCTTTGCAGTGAGTGAAGGGAAACCGGCGGGGTAATGTTGTATCGGGCGAGAACAGGTACATATTGCGCGTTCCGTCCGCAGGTTAGTCCTGATACCACTGCGGCTACAGCGTTTTGTGCAGTGAAGTCGGTCGTTTGGTGCAGTGTAGCTGTGCTGGATTTCTTTCTTTCTTTGCATCACCACTTTTATTGTGCACCATCACCACTATTGTACAGCACACCACTTTTATTGTACAGCATCACCACCACCCACGGGAAGTAGGAAGGCACCAAGTTGCTCCCTCCCGCTCTACGCATCGACATTTCCGCCGCGTTGTAAAGAGAAAAGGCGACGCAAGGTAGATGTGGATATTCTCGAGGTACATCAGTATTACGGCTGTGGTGTAGCTCCAACCACCTTTACACAGCGGTACTTAGCGACTCCATCCGACTGAGACGACTGCGGTGTGTTTCTCCGTGAGCTATCACACGGAAGACGTGTGCTCTCTTTCTGTCTCCCTGAAAAGTAGGCCAGCGGGCTCTCAACGCAGGAAGATGCGGGGGCAAGTGCTGTGTATTTCATTGTTTGGGGGCGGTGTCATCACGATTACACGTCGTTAAGCTTTGTTGCGATGAGGGCGGGCTACGAACACAAGGATTGACGAAAGCTATGCATACATGGGCCGTTCTTGACGTGTGCGGGGCAGCTCTTTCTGCCGGCCTTTGTTTTCTCTGAGGCAACAAAAGTAAGCATTCGACTGCACAGTAGTCTCAGGTCCAGCTGTGGGGTGGGGAAGTGCACTGCAGCTTGGCCAATTAACTCGAGATGTGGTAAATAGCGTCGATGCAAACCTTTGCGGCTCGCTTTTCGCTTTTGGTCAGGTCGGATTGGCAGTGGATTCTCGCGGCGACGTGGCGTTGGCCGGACACGTTTTCGAAGATGGCGGCAGCTTTGTGGACGGTCGCAGGGACGCGATCGTCTTGAAGCTCGCCTCTGGCGACGGGTCTACTCTGTGGACCAGGTGCCGCTACTTGGTTTAGTGAAATTTGTACGACCTAGGCAGGTTATCGGCCAAGGGCGACGACAAGTGTCAACTCAACTTCGGGAGTAAAGAGCAATTGGTCAAATTCAAGGGAGGCACTGAAACTGAATTCGATGGCGCCTCTGCTACGCACAGAATACTGTCGAACGTCGATGCCCCAGTGCACGTGCCGGCATCAAAATCATGTTTTTTGTCATGTGCCCTCGTTGTTCACCCCCCTCCAGCCCGCCCACGAGAGCTCTCCCTCCGTACGTGTGTAAATTTCAGAAATATTGGTGTGCATGGCTCGCACGACTGGAGCTCTGCTGTGGCAACAGACCGCAGCGGAAACATCTTCGTCGGGGGGCAGACAGATGGGAATCTATTCGCCCCTTGGACAGAGGGAGATGGGCAAGACATCTGGGTGGCGAAGCTAGAAGGAGAAGGGGGGGGGCTGTTGTGGGGATACCAGGTGAGTGTTGGGGTCACGGAGGGGAGGGGGGGGGGGGGNGGGGGGGGGGGGGGGGGGGGGGGGGGGGGGGGGGGGGGGGGGGGGGGGGGGGTAGCCTTGATCCTGTGCCTTGGCCTTTGGGCCTGTGGCCACGCGTTACCCCTTGAGAGGCGGAGCAGCGTCCCGTTACTCCTGATATGGAGCACCACCAACAGCAGAGTTGAGTCAGCAGGTCGTAACCCACCTGCCGTGTTTATCGCAGGGAATTTCTTGCTCGACTCGCCCCCTTTGAGAAGCATGAAACCCACAGCAGTAATTGGAATGGCCACTTGCAGTCTACAACTCGAAACTTGTTTTTTGATTAGTTCCTAACACCATGGAGTCTTTCACGTAGCCTCTCGTTCGTAGGCCGTATCTGTGCAGTCGGAGACCGAAATCGGGAGATGCAAAGCCACATGGTGGCGTTACTCTAGCTGGGCTGCCCGCACGCTCGGAAATGCAAAAACATGGTACCACGTTTCCGAAGCGTCGAAAGTGACGACGCTGCGCGCCACTCCCTTTAACCCCTTGGAGCAAGAATCGACACGAAGCCGTCTGGAGGTGTTTTCTTCAGTGTTATTTGTTTTAAAAAATGTGCGTAAAGCGCGTGGATTGTTGACCGAGCGTCAGTGATTGCGCAAGTTGCAGGGTGATAGTGAAGTCTCTCTGTTGCCCACGGGTCGGTGCTTGCGTTGAAGATGGAGGTGATCGCCGATATTTCTTACCCTGCGAGACGCGTACTCCCCCTCGCACCGGCCTTAACACTGGTTGGCCACAGCACTACTAACGGCCACCGGCCTTAGACACGCCTCATGCAAGGCATAAACGTAGTTGACGACGACAAAACTGCTGCAGGTTGGGTCAGCCGGGCAGGACATGGCATCCACGTTGACGGTGCAGAGTGGCGTTCTGGAGGGTGACGTAATTGTTTGCGGCTCGACAACTGGAGGGTTGTTCGAAGACCCGGGGGGTGTTTTTGAGAGCAGTAGCTCTCGGGAAACGGAGGACACGGGGAACAAAGGAACGAAGGCGTTTTGCGCAAAGCTTGCGGCGTCAGATGGGCACGTGAGAGACTCGAATGCCTGTGGTTGTTGCCATACTGTTGTTACTGCCGCTCCTATTTGGTTCGAGATGTTGATCGTGCTGCCTTTTTTGCTCTGCGCCGGACCCGACTGTTGCTGTTGTATTATGGTTGTCGCGGACATCCTCGTGTGTGTCATTTGTGTTGGAATTGTTCTTGTGATTCCGGTGCCACCTCGTTGTTCCACCGCAGTCACTCTTGTCGCCTTCGTCCTCTCGTTTAAGTGATCATCTTGCCTCTTGCTTGCATTCCTATCATGCTTGCCCCTGTGCATGGTGCAGTCCGCTGCTTCGTGTTGTTCCGAGAGGTGTTTCACGTTGGTTTCGTTCGTTCTAAGACGGTTGTCTCCTGACTGCGTGACTGTCCCTTACCTCATGGCTGTCCCTTGCCACTAGAAAAACGCGTGGTCGGGGAAAAAAACATGTCACCTACCTCTTTGCGCCTACCAGTCTGCTCAAGGCTGTTTCGTTGCCACCCCTGCCTCAAAGAGTCGCCGCCCTGCTGTGTGTAAACGTATTTTGTTGTTTGTTTATCACTTGAAATCAGAGCCCATAGCATGTCTGCCGGGTTTGTAGGAGCTATCTCAAAACCGTGGTCAGTCACACGGCAAGGTTCCTCTCCGTCCACCCCTCCTGCCGTGCTTGCCTTCGATGTTCAGCGCGAGAGGAGTGCGGCACGCTCCTCCCTCAAGATGTACACACCAGCTAGAAGTTCTAACTGCCGTAAGGGGCGGATAGCTGGCACCGCCCTTAGACGGCCTTTCAGAGCTCTATTGCTCCACGACCAAGATTGTCTGTGCCGTGCCGTGTAGCGTACCGTGGAATTCCATAAGAGACGGGAGAGCTGGCACCGCCCCTAAACGAACTTTCAGAGCTGTATTGCTCCACAACCAAGATTGTCCATACCGTACCGTATACCGTACCGTGGTATTCCGTAAGAGTCGGAACGATGGCACCGCTTCTAGATCGACTGTCAGAGCTCGATTGCTCTACAACCAAGTGAGTGCGGAAAGAGCCCGATGCGTCCACGGAAAGCCCTCAATAGCACCACTTTTAGTGCCGGCACAAGCTCGGTTGTGGAGCAGTCTTGCTTTGAAAATCGGTCCTATGGGGGTGCTATCTCGCCCGCTCTGTCATGTTTGTGACGGTGAGTTAGGCATTGACTGATGGACGAACAGCCTTGGCAGCGATCTCCAACCCCGCCCTTCCTATTGCCTCTCCTTGCCCCAGGTGGTGTGGGGGACGCGCTTTAAAGGGGGCTCGAACGATGAAATCTTGGCGGCCGCCGTGGATCCGTTGACGGGGGACGTGTTCGCCGCGGGGTACATTTCAGGTTAGGGCGATGGGGTTTGAGGTGTGGCGGGGGTCACCACCCCCGGCCCTGTTTGTCAAACCCTGGCAGGCGTTGCGTGATGTACGTCGTGCCGAGGGCGAGGTTGGATGTCAGGCAATCAATCGAGGATCTCGACATGTGGGCGCGACACAAGTCAGTCTATTTTGAACGATGCAGTTGCGTTGCGTCGCCACAGACGCACATGTACACTTGCGCCCCCCCCTCCGTGCGAAGAAGAAGAAAACGTTACGTTTGGGGTTTGAGGCTCAGTTTCTTATTTTGTCACCACCGTCGAGCCTAGCATATTGTAGGTCATTGTCCAGAGTGTTGGGTCCACGGCTGTTTGAGTCTTCTTATTAGTCGGTTTTTCGTAACTGTTTTTCGCGAACGGCGTGGCCTCCTCTTCTTAAGTTCGTATTTCTTACGTGCGGGCCGGCCGCGTCTTCTGTACAGTAGTTGTGGTCCCGGTTTAGCGGTCTATGAGGGCATCGCCGCTTAACTGGATGGGCAGCTGTAGAGTAGTTTGACTACAGAGGTGCAGCCGTGCCACGAGATTTTGGAACCGCTGTTCAGGGCATCCCGCTAACCAGGTAACCGATAAACCGGGCCCATGACGGTATTGCACTGCGACAGCAGCAGTGACATCGGTATGTGCTGGTGCTCAGACAGACCAGAGGTCGCCATGCGTGCAAAGGTCTTGCCGAGAGGACGAAATAGTCGGAGCGTTCGGAGCACTTTCATGGACTTGTTGCTCTTTAGCTGGACTATTTCCACCACTGCTGTGTGGCATTTTCTTTGTGTATCTCCGGCACGTTAATTTTGGGGCGGCACGTGCGAGCCCGTTACGTATGGTCGATGCCAGGAGCACTGCGCCGACACCCTACACCATGGAGAAGAAGTACCACACGTGCTCCTCCGACTCACGCAAAGACCTCGGGGCGCTTGACGTGACACAGCGTTCTCCTGGACAGGAAGAAAACTTGACAGTCGAGGGCATAACCTCCCCTCCCCCCACCCACCCACCCTCACGGACCGGTCCGTTCAATCGTGTGCCCCCTTCTCCCCCGCTTCGTCCATTTTTTGCTGGCACAGAGGCAGGCGGGAGCGACTACGTCGTGGTGAGACTAAACGGGCATGACGGTACGGAGACATGGCGGAGCACGGGGGGGGGGGGCTGGATGAACAACGGCTTCACGGACACGAACGTGCGAGACTCGGCGTGCGCGCTGGCGGTGGACTGGAGGGGAGACGTGATCATCGCCGGCAACACCGAAGGGGCGCTTTTCAGCAGTACATGTGTGTGGTGCAAAACGGTCGTGGTTAGAGCATGAGGTTGTGTGCGGTGTTTTCTGTGGTGGCAGGGAACGAGAACACGAGCGAAAGAGGACTGGTGTAGAATAGAATCGACCAGTGTAAGGAACCCTCCTGCACTCGATGGTACACACGTGTCATGCGCCGCTTTCCTGTTGTCGCTGCAATGACCGTCGTCCAATGTGTTCACCGTTTTAGCGTTGCCGATGCCGGGCGGGTAAAGACAGCAGTACCAACACCAGCCGCGGCTAGCTGGCACGACCAATAACGCATCACCGTCCTCGCACAAACGGTTGGGGTGGCATATACATCTCCACATCGTCATTATTCCCTTTACTGTGTCCCGCTTGTCTTGATATCCGCACTCACTAACAACAGTGTTTCCTCGGAGACAACTGCTGCGGTACGGTATGTATCTATCTTGGTCTTGTTTTGCACCTTCCGGCTTGTTCAAAGAATGATTCGTTGCATTCGTTCCCAACACCAGCAACACCAACAACGCTATGTCAGCGGAGTTTTGAGGTGCGCGAGGCGGGGGAATGGGACGGTACGAGAGCTGTTTCCCAATTATCCCTTGCAGTCGGAATAAGACTCCCTCCTTCGTGAAAGTGAGAAGAGTGACGAGCGGGGCACGCTCGAAAGCGGTGGCGCCGGAGCTGGTCTGGAGGGGATATGCTGTGATATCGGGATAGACGTGCAGGCAGCACGGGCGAAGCTTTTAACGTTGGCACAAGCATTGTTTCAGGTGTGGCCTCTAAAGAAGGGGACCTTTGGGGAAGGCCAAGAATACATGAATCTTCCAGGCCTTGCCCAACGTTCCTCCTTTTGTAGGCCACACCTAGAACGATTACGTGCGCCAAATTTGAAATTTTTCGTCCGTGTGGCCTGCACACCCTGCAAGTTCTCGCAGCATGTCCCCTCAAGACCAGGTTCTACCATTCTGCCGCTTCCGAGGGTGCCCCGCTCGTCACTCTCACTCTCGTCGCGGACACGGAGGAGGGAGTCTTAGTCTGACTGCAAAGGACTTCGAAGGACATTTGGGAAGCATCACTCTTCGAGCCGTCCCTTTTCCCCGGCTCGCGTACTCCACAGTTCGGCTGGTCTAGCGCTTCTTCGAAAGCCAGGGATTCTTCCTCTTCTTTCTTCATCTGCAACTGCCGTTACTGCTCCGACTCGTACAGTTTTGCCAGGCCGCACGTCGTGCCGTTTGTGTGCGGTACTGCTCGTTTAGCCTTTTGGAACGGCTTCTGCATTAGTTTCCCCTAATACAGTAACAACAGCAGCCACGCGCGACACCGACGCTTTGCTCGCCTTCACGTCCATCCTAGCTTCCCACCAACAATAACAACGCCACTTGCCATGCCCCCGTGTTGACTACACTAACAGCAGCCGGACGCGACACGGACGCGTTTGTTGCCAAGCTGGACGGCGCTAACGGGACCCACGTATGGGGCTGGCAAGGGGGCTCCGAGGTTGGGAACGACTACGCCAACGCCGTAGCGGTGGACTCCAACGGAGACGTGTACGCCTGCGGGGCGGCCCCGCGGGGTATGTTCGCGGACGAGAAGGGGGGGAGGGGTGCAAGGCCGCCCCGCGAGGATGCGGGAGGCGGGGCGCGGGGGGGGGAAGGG